TCTTTTATACCATGCTTAATTTATCTTGTGAGGTGAGTTGATGATTGATTCCTTTGTGTTTGTTTAACATGTTAAGGCTTTGCTTCTCATTAGTGGTTACCATAAATTTGTTGTTTTCCTCCTAAATCGTGAACTTAAGCTGTTGTGACATGTCTTACATTCTTTACATACTTGATTGTCATCAATGCCTAAATGTTATTACATTTGAACTTATAACATGATTATCTTAAGTTATGACTTATTTGCATGATTGTTGTTTCCATATTTGTTAATATGTATCCCTCAATTTGTTACCTTTATCTTTCTAAAGATATGTCATACTTGGTTGAAACCACTTGTATCAATTTAATCCTTGCTTATTGTGATATGCATGCTTGCTTGTTTGTAACCATACCCCTTGTATTCTTCATGCTTGTTTGTTTATATTGTTTTGTTAAGTATTTCTCCCCTAAGTGATGGAACTCTTTAGTTCTAGTCCAAGTTACTTCCTCTTTTCCCTTCCAAAGGAAAGTCTCTCTATTGACCTTTGGGTCATAGATAGCTCATTAAATCATGGGTCTGGATAGAACCTTCCTCCCCTTTTGGTCTGGATAGAACCAATAGGATATTAAATCATAGGTCTGGATAGAACCTTTTCCCTTTTTTGGTCTGGATAGAACCATTAGGATATTTACTCATAGGTCTGGATAGAACCTTCCCCCCTTTTGATCTGGATAGAACCAATGGGATTTAAACATCATATGTCTGGATAGAACCTTCCCCCTTTTTGGTCTGGATAGAACCAATAGGATACCCTCATAGGTCTGGATAGAACCTTCCCCTCCTTTTGGTCTGGATAGAACCAATAGGATACCCTCATAGGTCTGGATAGAACCTTCCCCTCCTTTTGGTCTGGATAGAACCAATAGGATTTAAACTCATAGGTATGGATAGAGCCTTCTTCCCTCTTTTGTCTGGAAAGAACCAATTGATCCTTATTCTGTAGTTCGTGCTCGAACTACGACCGCTCTGATTTCTCATTGGACAATGAGAATACGTAGGCACAAGATGCGATATCTTGATGAGCAACCTTCCCCCCTTTTCCACCTTTTGGTCTGGATAGAACCAATTGGTCTTACAACGTAGAACTTTAGGATAGAGTTTGGTTAACTCTATGTAAGAATCATGGATATGATTACTTACTTCCTTTTCTTGAGAGTTCAACATAGATCTAGAGAGTTTCGTGAAACTCTACACAAGCATAAATATGTTTGTTCCCCTTTGAACCTTGATCATAATCAGGTGTTCTTCATCCCTAGTGAGGTGAACTGCGATTGCTCTGATTCTATCCTAGTTAGGATACGTAGGCAGAGGACGCGATGTCTTTGCGAGCAAATTTAGAAACTATCTTTAGGTTTTAACCTTCACCTTTTACCCAATCCCAATCCATAACAAACATTTAACAAACCTAGCATACAAACAAACAAAAGGTTCCTGTAGAGTACTACAGATGTTTAACATGTGAAATACCTACCCTATGCATAACCAACCCCCGATCCCCGAATCTCTTAGCATTGTTGTAACATCGCGCAAAAGGTTCTTTCTGTCTTTAGACCTTTCCTTTGGATAATTTAAAGTCCGGTTGTGAATTAAAGAATTAAAGATTCAAGTTAATCAATAGCTTGGTATCACGATTCTCACTGTAACAATATTCAAGTTAAACATTGTTGGCTTGACACTAAGGTTTGAAAGGTGCTACATGTGTTTAGATGGTACAAAGAAAGCATTGAAGGTTGAACATAGACCATTATAGGGTTCCATGGATGTCACTTAAAGAATAAATATGGTAGAATTTTGTTGATTGCTGTTGGTAGAGATGCCGATGACAAGTATCTTCCTTTTTCCTTTAGGGTTATAGAGAATGAAACTAGGGACTCTTGGAGATGGTTTGTTAAGTTACTTCTTGATGACATTTGTTGTGAGAGTAGGTGGTGCTTCATATCTGATCATCAAAAGGTATGTGCAATGGTCCATTTTTTTTATTATGTGCAATGTTTCTTCTAGTTGACATTTCTAGTTAGTATGTGTAATATTTTGTGTTATTATGTGTACGGGGACTAGTGTAGGTATTTGAGTAAGAATACCCTAAGTTTGAACACAAGTTTTGTCTAATGCATTTATATGCTAACTTCAAGAAGAAGTTTGGAGGTGGTACATTGTACAAAGATCTCATTATGGTTTCAACAAAGACAACCTTTTATGAAGCACATGATATAAGATAAATCAAATTAAGGAGGTGCGTTTAGATGCTTTTGAATGGCTAAATCTTATACCCAAACATAAATGGTGTAAGCATGCATTTCCCTTTTACCCTAAGTGTGATGTTCCAATGAACAATCTTAGTGAATCATTCAATGCAAATATTTTGATGCAAAGGGATAAACCTATGATAACCATGTTTGAGTGGATTAAGAACTACCTTATGGGTAGGTTTGCCACACTTAGGGACAATGTAGATAATTACAAAGGGGAGGTCATGTCTAAACCAGTTAGAAGGTTAGTTAGAGAGATAAAAAAAGTGAAAATTAGTTGCCAACATATGTAGGGAGATTAACATTTCAAGTAACACATGTCATGTTCACTAATGGTTTTGTTGTAGACTTGAAAAAACATACTTGTTCATGTAGCTTTTGAGATTTGGTTGGGATCCTATGTAGACATGTTGTTGCTTCCATACATAGGAAAGTTAATGATCCCATTAAGCATGTACACAAGTGTTATCATAGGACTACTTATATAGAATGTTACTATGAAGTTATCACTCTTATAAATGGGAAAAACAAATGGCCAATGGTTGTTGATCCTGAAATATCGCCACCAAGTTTCAAGAGAGGTCCAGGGACACCAAAGAAACTTCGTAGAAGAAAGGCAGATGAGGCATCGCAAACTAGATGGCAAAGAAGAAACACAAGCCATAGGTGCAAGACATGCTTAGAATATGGGCACAATACAAGAACATGCAAGAAAAATAAACAACTTGCAGTTGTTCCTGGTGAATTGCCAAGAAATGTTGAAACACCTACTCAAGGAACATCAAACTTATGTATTGCAATGAATTTATGTTATGAAATTTGTAGTTTGGAACATCAATCTTGCTAGTTACTGTCATCAATGTTTTGTATTATTTCATCAATCTTGCAATTATAGTCAAGTTACAGCCAATTTATGTCAAATTGTGCAAAATGTGTCAACTTGTTAACATTATTGCACCAATTTGGATTGTCTTATGCAAATTAACCCAAACTCTTTCAACACCTTTCGTTAATAACACAAACCCAAAGATTGACATTACACATTGCAAATTTAGTAAATTACAAACTCTTCATTGACATTGAAAATTTAGTACATTACAAACTCTTCCATGACATTGCAAATTCAGTACATTACAAACTCTTAATTGACATTGCAAATTCAGTACATTACAAACTCTTAGTTGATATTGCAAATTCAAACAAAACACATCAAATTCAACAACTACATTTCAAAACAAAATACACATTAATTATAAAAGAAATAACAAAACACAACATCTTCAATTTTCCATGAAATTTCTCTGTTTTCAATTTGGTCTTAAAATTCTTGTTCTTCTTCCTTGATTCTTCATACAAGGTCTTCATATATCACATAAATGACATAACTTCCAGCTTCGAGTTCATAATGCTTCCATATTCATTTCCATATTTTTCTCTAAGGTCTTCATCCCATATCAACAGATTACATGTATCAACACTCCTCCAATAAGGACATCTCCAAAAGAACCTTACGTTATTTGGTCCATTCTTGCATTGATACAAGACCATATGAACTTGACAGCCACAAAACTTCCCAACTCACGATTTTACAGAGGTAGAAGATATTATGGTAGGTAACAATAATGGAGGCTTTAGTGAAAGTGAAACATTATGAGGCTTTGAGGAATGAATCAGACCAAGATGAACGAAGATGAAAAACAAGAAGTTTATGAGGTAGCTGGACGAAGAAAAAGACGAGGGGAAAGAAGCAGACAAAGAGGAACAAGGTTTGGAGAAAAATATGTTTGGTTCAAATTTTAAGAGGGGGAGGGAGGGGAGGGGAGCAAAATCCCTCAAAAATACACTTTTTACTTCCCTCCAATTTGGAGGAATTTGGAGGGAATATGAGTTTGGATATTTAAAAAATTATTATGTTTACTAAAATATCCTCAGTTTAATTTTAGTATTTCAAAATTATTCGTTTTCTTTCGTGTTACTATTTTCTTCTGTGTGATTTTCTCGATTGCTTCCATCATCTTATTATAATTGTTATCTACATTCAAATTATTTTAGAATTTTGTACTTTATAAAAATCATAATCATTGCATTTTTTTTTGTTTTTTAATAAAAAATATAATGTTTAATTACATTCGTTTTTTATTCTAATTTTGTTATATCAAATTTTAAACCATTTTTTTCCCGCATTTTATTAAACATTTTGAACCATTAATATTTAATAATAATTTACTTTATGTATTTGTTTTGTTAGATGATTCAGCTTGCTTTAACGTTGTAATCAACATATAATTTAATTTATATTGGAGAGTTGTTGTTATCGGCATATAATTTAATTTATATTAGAGAGTTATAATCTGAATTAAGTGTCCTCAATTTTTTAACATTAGGTAAAAAATAAATATTTTTTTAGTCACTCAATATTAAAATTTTATTATCATAAAAAATATGTATGAATTTTTCAGGTATGAATATCATATCACCTATATAAGATCATTAGGATAAAAATATAAATTATTAATAAAATCTCTATCCTTCCCCTAACCAAACACATTTTTAATTAAAATCTCTCACCTCCCCTCTTTTGAACCAAATACTTATTTGATTAAAAAAAAACCTCATTAGTAAGCACCAGTATCAACTCTGTTGTTTGAATCAAATTTTCATTTGGCCGAATAAAACCATCTGAATTGGAAAACACATGCTCACGAATGAATGCAGAGGCTTCAATCCCTTATTCGAACTTCACCCATTACACTACCATGTCTGAAAGCAACCCATTGTCTAGCAATCAAGTCAGGTTCCATATCCGACCTCTATACAGCCAACAACCTCATAACCGCATACTCAAAATGTGCACAACTTCCCCTTGCTCATCAACTGTTCGACGAAATGCCTCACCGAGATACTGTATCATGGAATGCAATCATTTCATGTTACGCAAACACTGGCGACCTGGATTATACATGGAAACTCCTCAACAATATGAGAATCTCCGGTCACATAATTGACAGCCACACATTTGGAAGCATTCTCAAAGGTGTTGCTCGAGCTCGTAGCCTTGATCTTGGGAAGCAGATACATTCGGTTATGATTAAGATGAGGTTTAATGAGAATGTGTTTTCAGGGAGTGCACTTCTTGACATGTATGCCAAGTGTGGTAGAGTTGATGATGCATTGGTTGTGTTTCGGTATATGCCAGAGTGCAATTTTGTGTCGTGGAACACGTTGATTGCGGGTTATTCGCGAGTTGGTGATCTTGAGATGGCGTTTTGGTTGCTGAGATGTCAGGAGTTGGAGGGTGTTGGGATTGATGATGGCACAGTGGCTCCGCTTTTGACTTTGCTTGATGGTGTTGAGTTTTGCGGTTTGGTAATGCAGCTGCATTGTAAAATTATGAAACATGGGCTGGAGGATTTTAACATTGTCACAAATGCACTTATCATGGTGTACTCAGAGTGCTATTGTCTACAAGATGCGGAGAGAATGTTCGATGGTGCTGCCATGTATCGTGATATAGTTACATGGAATTCCATGCTTGCAGCTTACTTGCTTCACAAGAAAGAAGATCTTGCGTTTGAAGTTTTCATTGACATGCAGAGTTTTGGGTTTGAGCCTGATGATTATAGTTATACTGGGGTTATCAGTCATTGTTTTGTCAAACAGCACAAAAGCCGTGGAGAATCTTTACATGGGTTGGTGATAAAAAGAGGTCTTCAAGTTTCTGTGCCTGTTTCTAATGCTTTGATTGCCATGTATCTTGGATTTGATAATAGGGGCGTGGAAGGTGCATCGAAAATCTTCTTTTCCATGGATGTTAAAGATTGTTGTACTTGGAATTCTGTTTTGGCAGGGTACGTGCAGGTTGGTTGGAGTGAGGAAGCCTTGAGGTTGTTTGTGCAGATGAGATATCTTTTTGTAGAAATTGATGACTATACTTTTTCCGCTGTCATCAGATGTTGTTCAGATTTAGCAACATTGCAGCTAGGTCAACAGGTTCATGTTTTGTCACTTAAAGCAGGTTTTGATACAAATAAATATGTCGGGAGTTCATTGATCTTCATGTACTCTAAATGTGGTGTCATAGATGATGCTAGGAAATCTTTTGAAACAACTTTCAGTGACAATGCAATTGTTTGGAACTCGATCATCTTTGGGTATGCACAACACGGACAAGGAAACATTGCACTTGAACTCTTTAACTTAATGAGAGAGAGGAAGATGAAACCTGATCATATAACCTTTGTTGCAGTTCTCACTGCATGTAGTCATAATGGGCTCGTAGAAGAAGGCCGGAAAATAATACAATCTATGGAGTCTGATTTTGGTATTCCGCTGCGAATGGAGCACTATGCTTGTGCAGTTGATCTCTATGGTCGGGCTGGGCATCTAGAAGAGGCAAAAGCTTTGGTTGAAACAATGCCTTTTGAACCTGATGCAATGGTGTTGAGGACTTTATTAGGTGCCTGTAGAAGTTGTGATGATATTGAATTAGCAAGTCATGTGGCAAAAACATTGCTACAGTTGGAGCCTGAGGATCACAGCACTTATGTTCTGCTCTCGGACCTTTATGGGCGTCTGAAGATGTGGGATGAAAAAGCTAGTGTAACTAGGCTGATGCGAGAAAGACGCGTGAAAAAGGTTCCTGGTTGGAGTTGGATAGAAGTGAAAAATGAAGTGCATGCTTTCAATGCTGAAGATCACTCTCACCCTCAGGGCGAGGAGATATACAAACTGCTACTAGAATTAAAGGAGGGGACTAAGTTGTTTGATAATTTTGTTGGTTAAACTTAATTACTAGATGGTTATGCTGATTAATGTGTATTGTTTATTGGGTTTGATTGGAAGATTTTGAAGATGGCACACACTGTAGTTTTAAAATGCAGTTTACAACAACAATTTATATTGCAAAGCAAAGGTATTTAGCACTCTGTGACTTTATCATGGTGCAATTACGATGACATTTGTCTGCATTTTTCTGCGATGTAATCGCAATCATGACTGCAGCCACAACTTAAAACTGGCGTGCACCATGTCTCTTGACAAGATGTCGACATTTATTTCATAAGGGGGAGATGATCTTGTGCTTCTTTTCAAAGAAAAGATTATTTTTGTTATAAAGTTCACTCTTTTAACTGCACATCGAATACTTGTGATTGCCATATAGGATTGAAGGAGTTCTTGCCAGCAGGTTCGAAAGAAATTATTCCTAAATGCTTCTGTTCATATCCTCTAATTTTACTTTTGTTTCAGATAAAATTGTAGTTCATATCCTCTAATTTTACTTTTATTCCTATATGCACACATCTAATCATTACTATGGTATAAGTCAATTGATACTATTTGAAGACAAGAACAAATTCATGCCAAATACTGGGGCTTTAATTCGCTGCTAATTGCATATACCAGTCAGTGATCTGCAAAACATATTTGCTTCAAGCTTAAAAAAACAACTTATCACTTGTATAGGTTCCAATTCTGTTGATGTTTGTTTATTACAATCTAAACAGGTGCATTGCAAGAAGTAGAAATTCATGTTACCAGCTCTTGCATTTTTCCCTTTTCTATTTTTTTGTGTGCAGAAAACTGCAGTTAAGAAGATGGATACACAATCATCAAAAGAATTCCTTACTGAGCGAAAGGTTCTTCTGACACAGTTTCATCACTTGAACTTGGTATGACGCTGATATTATTCAACATTTGAATCTTAAAATTTTTTAGAGTTATTAGACAAAAGGGTGGGGGGATGCTCACGGAACTATGCACAACATATGGCAGCCAATTGAGTAAAATATAAAGGATAATTTTCATTCTTTTCTTGTATGATTTAGTGTTCTTTTTATGAAGTTGTTTTATTTATTGTCCCCCTTTTTCTGAACTTCTAATTAACATTGATTAAGTCAATATCACTACTAGCTTTGTAAGTTCCAACGAGTTATTGCTGATGTCTTCACTAATTCCTTGAGGTCTTTGAATAAGTTATATATGTCACACACTTGTTGCGTATGATTTATATGCTACAACTAAACTTGAGTGGAAGAGTTGATATATTCTACTTATATGAATATTAAGTAATTAGGATAGACATGATATCAGAGTTATTAATATCATGTAACTAATATTGAGATTATATATTGATTCTCTTGGTACCTATATAATAGAGTCTCAATTGTGTAGATCGGATTCGGACACCATTTTACTTTTTTTTCCGTATCTTTTTCTCTCTTTCCCTTTTTTTTTTAGCTCCATTTACATATTATATTCATCCAGAATGATAAAATTAATTGAAAAGACAATTTTGTCCCTAAAAGAAGGAAGTTATTCAAAATAAAGACTAGTTTAAGAACTACAAGAATAACCAAATCTTATCTTACTAAATAGTTAGATCAAACGGCATTATAATGCTCTATCACATATCATATCTCCATCCAACTCATTAATCTATAGATCTTTCCTAATAGTTTTTCTAGATCTCTAGATCTTCATCTATCTCTAGTAATTTGACTATCATCAATCACATCTTTTTTTTCTATATCTACATGTCCAAACTACCACAGACGAATTTCCACCATTTGTTACCCCCAACTCTAATGGTGTCATTCCTAATCCTATCTTGTCTAGTCTCACTACATATCTAACACAACATTCACATCTCTATTGCGTTTATTTTATTCTCATTTTGGTTCCTTCCCTCTCAACACTCCATCCCATACAACAACGCGGTCCTACAGATGTATGATAAAATTCTCTCTTCACTTTGAGCGGTACTTTCGTGCCACACAAAACACCCGAGACCCTCCTCCATTTCTACCACCAACTTGAATTTTGCGGCTTACATCTCTTTCTATTTTTCCGTTGTATTGTACTAAGGATCCAAGATTTTAAACCATGTAACTTGTGCTATTTCTCCTTCATAAGACACTTCTAAGACTTGTATCTTAGTCTCTAACCTCCCATTTAATTTCTCTTCCCACTCCAAAATAGGACTATATCATAAGCACAAAGCATGAATCTCGCTGTTGGTTCTTGGATGTATTATGTGAGTATCTCCAAAACTGAAGTAAAAAGATAAGAGTTTAGAGTTGATTATCGGTGAAATCTTATTATTATTGGAAAATAATATGTTGCTCCACCCTATATTCGCACACTAATTGAGACCACTTCATATATATTTTTGATAGCTTTAGTAGGAAAACAAACAACTAGTTTATCCATACCATTATATAAAGGCAACTATAAAGTTAGCTAGCTATAACTACTATATATCTTGGTCAGACATTTTTTTTTTCTGGACAAATTTTGAGATTTTCCTTTTACAAATTTAATCTTAACAACATAATCCTTTTTCAAATTCATGTTTAAAACATACAATATGAATATTGAAAGAATTGATAACATAGATATTTAAAAAGTGAAATGAACTAATTATATTAAAATAGATATTACAAAATAAAGCATAATTAAATATATGTAAAACAAAATAGAATTGAAAAACGCAGTGTCCCTCTCTTTGCTAGTTATAATGTACATCAGATTTATTCATCTGTTTATCTATATGTTAATCATAAAAATGATGATGTTGCTTTCTCCATTTTGTCAAAACTTTCTCAAAAGTCTATTAAGCAATTTACTTGTGCACTTAAATCATGATCTCATTTGTTTGAAAACCCTAATTTCACGACGATGTTATGTAACAATTTCATATCTAAACATCATTATCTTTACGATGAGGTCAAATTAAATTGCCACCTCCATTTCATGCGGATGACATTAGTATTAGTATTTTGGGATCAGGTATTAATGGCACTCTTTGTCTCTATCAAGACCATGCAATAATAGTGCTATGGAACCCAACCATTAGGAAATTTAAGGTTATTCCTCCTAGTCCCATTCACTCCGTACCATATGTCACCGTTTTGGTTACTCTTCATGGATTTGCTTATGATTTTGTTAGAGATGACTACTAGGTGATTCGGCAGACAAAGCTTCTTCAAAACATGGACTTTGAAGGTGATTCGATGATTGTTCCAATGAGACCTAAGCATATATGGGAGATATATAGTTTAAAAAGTGACTAATGGAGAAATCTCAGTGTCATTATGTCCCCTTGTGATACAGGTGTTGAGGTGTACATGAATGGAGTTTGCCGTGGGTTGGGAGATACATATGATTGACCATATTTGGTATCATTTAACATAAGTAATGAGGCGTTCCTTACAACATCCTTACCCCAAGATCTGTATGATAGTTTTGAATGGGTGGAGTGATACTTGGAGAGGTGTTAAATATAAATATGTCCATTGCTCTCAAATCATGCAAAGAAATATAATTTTCATATATAAGTTTTAGGTGAACTCAGGGTGAAGGATTCATAGATTAAACTTAATCGTTGGACCTTTGTGTTGAGTTTCCTATTGGAGTCAGGGAAAAAATGATATATTCTTCTGGAAAAAAACGATGAATTGATCTGTTTGAATTGAAGTGTCAGAATGATTGAAGAGATGGCTGTCAAGGAGAGTTATTTCTATGCCGAATGGTTATTTATAAGCCAAAAATTTTCTTCTGATTGATAATTAATGATTAGGATGACCAAGTTGAGTGTTATGAAGTTTTTGATATACAAATAGGTTTTTCCATTGCTCATACTATACCCATTATCAAGTAAATCAGACAAATATTTCTCATATGAATGTTGCTTTATTAATATTATTTCAATGCTTTACATTCTATTTGCATTTTGTTCTGACTTCTGTTGGTTTTTGTTACGATTATCAACAGATCACCAACACTTCCCATAATACAAGCTACTTAGTGTTGGATTGACAATGAATTTAATAGAATCATTGTGTGCTACCTTGATTTTGGCTAAAATTGTTAGATGTAACAGGAACAGAACAGAAGCAAATAGAAGTTCTGGGAATGACTTGTCTATTCCTTGTTAAAATGCAGTAAAATAAATAGAGAATAAAAGGAACGTTGCTGTAACAAACTACAGCCCACTTCTAGCTAGAAATAAGGAAACAAAACTTGACTGAATCAGTAAACAAACTATCCTAAAAACTAGGACTATTATTTGACTAAATACTTAACATTCCCTCCCTTGAACTAGACTGCATTTGCAGCTAGTTAACATGTGGTAGTTCACACACTCCAAGCCTCCTTCTTAGCTCCTGAAATAGCTCCAATTTGAGCGGTTTGGTGAAAATGTCGGCTATCTGCTGCCTTGTACCACAGAACTGAAGCTGCACAACTCCATCATTCACTAGCTCTCGTAAAAAATGGTAGCGCACATCAATGTGCTTGCTCCTGTCGTGCATCACTGGATTCCTCGCCAACTTAATTGTTGAACTATTGTCACAAAAGATGACAGTACTCTCGCTGCCCATGTAGCCAATCTTCTTTAGCACTCTTTGCATCCATATTGCTTGACAACTACTTCCTGCAGCTGCAATGAATTCAGCTTCGGTTGTGCTTAGTGTTACGATCGGTTGCTTTCGAGAAGACCAAGTCATTGCTGCTCCACTAAGCATAAAAACATAGCCTGAGGTGCTTCGTCTATCTTCCACTGATCCGGCATAATCGCTGTCAGTAAAACCAATCAACTCATGACTTCCTCCCCTTCTGTAAAGAATGCCAAATGTTGTTGTACCTTGCAAGTAACGTAGAATTCTCTTGGCTGCTGAATGATGAAGTTTTGTAGGCCTTGACATATACCTGCCTAATAAGCTTACTGCATACATTATATCCGGTCTCGTAGCAGTCAAGTACATCATGCTCCCAATCAGCTG